AATAATGCCAGATATTAAATTTAGATACCGTTTCGATTGACGCTCCACAATCGATTAGGCGCCCTAAAATATATATATATTTTTTTTTGTTAAAATTTTTAAAAGATTAAAAATATTTATTCAAAACCCCTACCCCTAAAGGGGTAGGAGGTAAAGTTGAATAAATAAAAATAATAAAGAATTTTATTAATTGTTTCTACTAATAATTTTTAAAAATTTTTCAAATGCTTTATCTTTGTATAAGTAACAGAAGCAGAAAAAGCTCAAATGGCTTTGCAACAATGATGAGGTAGTTCCCCTCTTATTCTTAATTATTTTCAATTTTGCATGACCCTAAATACACTCAATTAATTGAGTACGACAGCGGGTCTCAGGGTCAACAAATTTTCAGAATGATTTACGACCTTATGGTCGTGAAACATAGTATTCAATCCCAAATACGCTCTCCATCCATCACTATGAATAGTAGTTTTTAAATCAATATGCTAAACTAGGAGTGAAAGTAGAGTGTTGCGATCTCTTCTTTCTACAATAAACGTTTCAACCTTTCTAGACCCCTCTTCAGTCATGCCGAAAACCCATGGTCCATTTACTCGTACGCCAAAATTCATTTTACGGCAGCATCACTATTATTCTCCACAAAGTCATCTTAAAGAAATCTTCCACGGTTGTACTTTCGACGACCTCTAAACAGAGATTCGTCGATTTGTACAACTTTACCTTCATCCCCAGTTTTCACTCATAATATGATCATGAGTTTCCAACCTTATGTAGTTCGTCTAATTAGTAATATTTTCACTACCTTTAATTTGAGTGGCGGACATGATATATTTTACTGTCCTTTCCTCAAAATAAAGATAGATCAATTTTACTAATGTTTGAACTGAAGTAGCAAGTCGTCTTCTTCCCTCTTCATAACAAAAAATATTATCAAAGAGAGTATATTCTCTTCGACACGACTTGCATCGAAGAAAAAAAATGTATTTTTTAGACTCTTCTTCTTGACTTTATGGAGAGTCTGCTGCTATGGCAAAATTTGTACTGTCTCTCATTCACAGGTTTTAAGCAACCACTTTCTTCTAGAAAGGTTAAGAAAGATTATTCCTCCCACAATATTTCTAATAATTTTTCATAAATCATAAAGGATTTAAAAAATTTTTTAAAATTTATATATATAAATTTTGGGGCGCCTAACCGGTTGTGGGCGCCAACCGAAACAATACCTAAATTTATTGTTGTCTTATTTTTTTGCATTTATTTTTTTAAAATTCTATACTTACACATAAAACACAAAAATATATAATATTTTAAAATCTATTTCTATAATTGTGACATCTTACGTCACTACGAATTGATTTATAAACCAATCATTTAATGATTGATCAATTCACCCTTTTTAAATATTTAAAGAAAATCCCTTTTAAATAAAATGGTTATTACAACAAACAAATCTTTTAAACATTTAACACGTGAACAGTCCTTGAACCGTGCAAGGAATACTACAACGCATACCTCCTACTGCACAGGGTATGACAATAATTTTATTTAATATATATTGTGGAAGAAAAATTTTTAATTGTGACATATGTGTAGTTTTGTGAATTATTTTTTAGGTAGTTTTATTTTTTACTCAATACTGTACATTCTTTCAATGATTGATAATTTTTCTAAATTTATCAATCTTGTAATAATACTAGGTATAGAAGCTGACACTATAATTGATGCCTTTAGATGTGAGTGGCTCTTAAGATATCCTCACCCTTCTATAATCACAACATATCAAGGAACCCAATTTATGAATAACAACTTTAAATCACTTTTAAATCGTTATTCTATAACACATTAACCTACGTTAAGTTATAATCCAACTGGAAATTGTATCGTGGAAAGAATACACAGAGATATTGGTTCAATTCTCAGAATCCAAAAAGATACTAAGTTACACGATTTGATAAGAAGAATCTGTTTAATCATAACATACCATTCAAGCCTTAAATGTACACCAAACCAACTGATATTTGGAGAAAACATTAACAAACAACATGAAAGAAAAAGCATATCATTAATTAACGAAACTTATTAGTTATAAAAAAAGTTAAAGGAAAAAACTTGCTAGTCAAGAAACACTAAGAGAACAGAAGTTGATTTTAACAATGGGTATGTTTTTGTAAAAATTTTAGAACATCTAAGCTAAACCCTATTTGGGATGGTCCTTTTAAAGTTTTATCAGTAAACTTAGAATTTGGTACTTGGTGTATTATAAAAGAAAACTTACACAAATAGATTCCTTTCCATCGTCTTAAGTCTCTTTTAGGAGGGAATACTGTTGTATGACTACAACTATTTTTTTATACTAAGATACACTTATTTTTATACTATCATATTTTTAATAATGTGTAAATTGTTAAGTTTATTACGTCATTAATATTTCACATTATGTAATGTTCCAGTATTTAAGAAAATTTATTAAATAAACCCATCTTATGTTAAATAATTTTAATCAATCAACAGAATGTGTCAGTATCTATGATTAAAATCTTTCAAACAACTATAGTTTTTAAAAGATTTTTCTTTTATAGTATTTTCTCAAACATTAACTTCCTTTGTTTTAGATTATAACACTTATGTGAAAATTATAATGATAACTTTTTTAACACTCTGTATATTGTAATATTTTTCATTTGATCAATTATAATATTATTCATAATTTTAAATATATAAGTAAAACTTATGGAAATAAAATATGATTAACAAATTAATTTATTTTAGTAAAATTTAAGTCGTGCAAGGTATAGAATTTGTTAAACTAAAATTATCTTATAAATTAAAAGGAATGATTTTTTTAAGTAATTTAAAAAATTTGATAATTTAAAATTATAGTGTTAAAGGGATATGTTTTTTAGTTTTATTTGATTCTTGTTTTTTAAACTATAAATTAACACATACACCTTTAAAAAATTATATAATAAAAAACATGTTTTTAATTTTTAAGATTGTTTAATTTTATAATTTTTCATTCAAATGTTTTAAAACATTTTATATTTCATGTAAAAAATCTATTTTTCAAAAACAGTATTTTTAAGACATTAAAACTGAATCAAATATTTAAAATGATCAAAAAAGTTAAAAAATTGAACAGTTGATTTAATCAGTTTCTGTCGCTAACAAATAAAACGCCAATATTTGATTGTTTTTGAAAAATTCAACAATAGAATACAAATTTTCACTATATTCTATGTATATAGAATTGTTAAAATTATTATTCAATTTATCAAGTTTGAAATAATTTAAAAGTCTTAGAGACTCTCTTTCTAAAACTCTAAACTTTTCTTTTTTAAATTTAAAATATTCCAACTGGTTCTCTTGACAATCATTTTTTGTAAAATCTTCTAAAATCTTATAGTTTTTATAAATACAATCAATTAAATCATAAATATCTTTTTCTAATCCGTCAATTTCTTGTAAAATATTCAATGTTTTAATGAATTTTTCTTTTATATTTTTAAAAATAAAATACGGCTCGTCATTAAATACCTTTTCAACAAATGGTTTGATTTTATAAATCAAATTAAATGTATCAAGACTAAATATAGAATTCATTTCACTCCAAATCTCTGAGTAATACTTTATATTTTGCAATATAATTATGCAATTTTCATCATTTTTAAAATTTTCATTTTCTTTAATTTTTTCATATCTAGATTGGAAATTTTCTAAGATTTTATTTTCTTTGAGATTTATACGAAGAATAAAAAATAAATTACAGTATATTGCTTTGTTTTTATTTTCAATACTGGTAATAGGATTCAAATAAACTATTGTTGGTTTATGAATAAAATTTTCAATTTCTAAATATCTATCTTTTGTATTTTGTTTTTCTACTTTAAAATTATTTAAATAATCTTTAACCTCTTTTCTTAGTTGTATCTTTTCTAAATCACTAAAATTTACTTCAAATTCGAAGAGGATATGATTATTAGAAGAATTTAAAACAGCATTAATTGGATACTCAATGATAAACTTACACAATAAGTTTATAAGAGCTGTATTGCTAATATCATTATAGAGTTCTTTTAATTCTTTTATATATTGTTTTTCTTCATAT